AAAAAAAAAAAAAAAAGAAAGAAAGAAATGGGCTCATTCGGTCAGTCTATTAAAAATGCACACTTGCTTACCTAAAACTAATTGAGTATATTATTTTCACTCACTGACATATTCAGAATATAAAGTTTAATTCTTTTTACAATGTCACTAATAGTTTCTTAATCTTCAGATTAAATATCTATACTTAAATACACCATTAAAATTCTTCCAACCTTTTAATTTGCAAACACTCCATCTGGCATTATTAGAAATAAATACATTTGTTTTTGTGCTTAAAAAATACAACACAGCAAGTAAACAATGACCAGAAGATAAATTCAAAACATACTGCAACAATTCTTGTTTCTCAGAGTTCTCAGGGAAAAGGTATCAGGTTTTCTTAGTCCTCTATTACTTCTTTGATTTAGGGGAATGGAGTTTTTAGATCTTTGGAGACTGCAAACCTCAAAGAAACTAAAGCACAATGAATTATTGTTTTTAGTACCATATGACCAACTTTTTATTAGATGGGGTATGATGATTCACAAAGAAAAAACAAAGCACTTTATAGTTTCTCTCTGCTATAATGACTAAGAGCTTTCATTTTGCATTTAAATCAAGAATACTAGAGAAAAAAAAAAAATCAAAATCACCCAAATAAATTATCACAATTTGAAAGCATCACCAGGATATTTTGGAGTTCACAGAAAACTACTTTAAAAACATTGGTTATGGTCAGATACACATTCATTTAACAAATATTTACTCATCATGAAACCATGTGCCCGTTGCCTACTTAGGTGATGGGAATACAAAAATAAAGCAGAAACTGCTCTGAAAGCACCCAAAGTCTAGCAGGGCTATTCCAAAATGTAAACATGGTCAATTTTCCGTTGTGCCATATTTCATTGAAATGTGGATAGGGAAAAAAAAGACAGAGGTTAATACGAAGATATGAGTCTACTTTCAACAACCTTTGTGATTCTCACTCTAATTTAATATACAATAACAACAAACACTATTTTTTTAAAAAAATCTTTCAGATGTTCTAAAGATTCCAAGATAAGCGATAGATGCTACTTCCCTGAAAACACTTAGGAAAGATGCTGCAAGGGGAGACACTCCTCAGAATAAAATAATAAAGCAATTAATGGTTATGAGGTTTTCCTTCCAAAGAAGGCTAAAATTTTTGTGGATCATGCAAAAAAAAAAAAAAAAAATCCCCTCCCCCCCAAGAAAGGAGAAAGGAAGGAGTATGTACAATGTGGCATATTAATAATTGGTGACTCTAGAAGAAAACTATTGAAGAGTTTTCTGGACTATTCTCTCAATTTTCCTGTAGTTTAGATTCTTCCAAAGTAACGAGATATAGAACAACTTTTTAAAATGAGGAGTATGTATCATTAAACCAAAGTGTCATACTTTTATCAAATTGAGAATATTTTAGATAGAAAATTATTTATGTATTTTTACTAATTTTATTAACATATTTTGAATCAATGTGCCATTTAAAGGTTTATTTACCCAAAAAGATGCCCACTCTATGAATGGATATAGTGATTTCTGAAAATACTGAATGCTACATTAAAATCCATTGGTTAGGGGCAGCTGGGCAACTCAGTCATTGAGTGTCTGCCTTCGGCTCAGGTCATGATCCCAGGGTCCTGGGATGGAGCCCTGCATCAGGCTACCTGCTCCACGGGAACCCTGCTTCTCCCTCTCCCACTCCCCCTGCTTGTGTTCCCTCTCTCGCTGTGTCTCTCTCTGTCAAATAAATAAAATCTTTTTAAAATAAATAAATAAATAGAATCTTTAAAAAAATAAAATAAAATAAATAAAATCCATTGGTTAACAGCAGCACGGAAAATCTCAATGCCAAGAAACTGAAGAGTAATCTTCACCATAAAATATGTTGCTAACAATAAGCCCTAGAGAAATGAGGGAGAAGAAATCTGAGATCCCAAGAAGAATAATGAAAAATAAGTGCTAAAGCTTAATTGCTATGTAAGTGCCATACAAAAGGGGCCGCACAATGAGGAAAAGGTTAAAGTCTGTAAAACACACATCTCTTACAAAACCATTAAGTTGTGTTTAATATCATTATGTCATTCTTTCCTACCCAGAAGCTACAGCAGATCGTTTTTTCCCAAAGATGGCTGCAACGCTATCTCCCATTCCATGTGTTCACACTATAGATAGATCTCTTTTGCCTAATCATGCAGCACATGAACCTCTTCTCAAAATAAGGCTTAAAGTGCAAAAAAAGAAAATACATAGGACTGCACAGAAAACAAATTATACTGAAATACAGGATTCAAAATATTTTCTAAGAACAAATTTGGGATATAATGTATGGGGTTCTTTACTCATAACAAGCTCCAACAACAAATCTAATAATCACTGTTACTTAGAGATACATTATCACATTACAGTTGTTGAAGATATGTGATTTCCAAAGTGGAAGAAAGTTCCGAAGATACTACTACTATTGTAGTTCATTGCCTACATTGGAGGAAACACTAAATCCCAGTTAGAGGTGAAAGAAATAGGTCCTTTTTCCCTCTCATCCAGATGCATAAACCTCCTCTGAATTTTATGGGACTGGGAATTCAAAGGTTAAGAACTCGTGATCTAGGGTATAAACTTCACGGAGGAAAGAAATTTTTTCTGTTTTTTGTTCATTGCTATATTCCAGGAACACTACTAAAATGGAGCCTGCCACACAGGTTCTCAACAAATATTGTCAACCTATGCAATGAGTTAATTCTTGCAGTCAGTCTCACCAGTGTCACTCAGAGTAAGCCTGGGGTTTAAAGAGCAATATATGTCATCTCTCATCACCCCACAACACAACCAATTACTTTCTCTGATGCTCAATTGAAGAAACAATGGTGTTCTACGACAATTTTCTTTTAGAGATAAAACCATCTGTGCAAGTCTGCAACCTGGTGTCTTCCCAAAAGATTTTAAAGGGTAATGTATTGCTTTGAGGAAATTTTTACCTTACTTGTTCACTTGAGAACCTAATTTCTGAATTTGGTGTGTACTGGACAACTTTCACACCAACTGCTCTGGACTTCTGTCTTTGAGAGATTTGGGGGAGTGGGGAGGAAGGAAAAGCAAAGAAGGGGAGAAAGCAGAACCATCTAGAAGACCACATTACTTCTGGGTAGAGAAAGGGCACCGAAAGGCAACATAACACGATAATTAGTCATTTTTGTCCCCTCTGGCCCTCCAAAAAAAAAAAAAAAATGACAAAAATCTCTTCTGCCAAACCTGAAAATCAATAAAAACGCAAACCTAAATTGAATCCCCTAAAACCTGTTTGTACTAGGCAGTTTTTTTAAAAAATTATTTTTTAATCACTATGATGTTAACAATGCATTGGTTTTTTTTTAATTGTTTTAAAAATTACTTTTGATTCCTGAAACTAGCATACTAAAAAAATGTGGTCTACATTTACAACAGGGTGCACTGTATATAAAGGATGTTTAGTAGTTTCAAATTCAAAACGAAATACATTCCACAGTAAAAAGTTATCAAAGTATTTCACTATTTTTATAGACAAGCAATGGAAAGCAAGTGCGTACTAATACATAAACAAATGAAATCATGACTGCCTTTAAATGCATTTGCTTCAAATCTCTAACCACATTCAGAATATACAACATCAAATGTTAGTAGCTTTTGCCTAGAAAATAGAATCATGACCGTAATTTTAAAAAAATACACTGTAAAAACAAAAAGATAATCCTTTGTTAAGGTTTAAGAAAGTAAAAAACCTTTCTATAACAGAATAATCATCATCAAAATATAAACAAGGAAGTTTTCTGCATAATTTCCATTTTTTCCCATCTAAAAGAGTAAAAATGAGATGGTTATTGTAATTATTCCATTACACTTCTGGTATCTGTTTACTTGTCAGTTTAATAAAACTCTAGTAACTGCAATTTTCATCAAAAGTATATTTTGGACAGCACCTCACCTGGTCTCTTCATCATCCCAGGCGATTCGCATGCCTTTCCCACCACCACCTGCTGAGGCCTTGATCATGACAGGGTAGCCTAACAGCAGGGAAGAATTAGACAGAAGTTCAGACTTTGATCATCTGGATGCATGAACATGACAACTGACCACATGTTCAATAACGCAGAAGACAATAACTAATTTATCTAAAAGTTCCTTTCTTTAGAGTTAGGAAAATAACACCGTGTAATGATCTCATATATATTTTAAAAATGAGAGTGTGATCATTTTAAAAGAAAAGGACTATTTGTATCTATAAATGTAACATTTTCCCCAGTAATGAAATAAAGCGCTAAGGAAACATAAATAAGTTATTTGACAATGGATTCCAAAAATGGAAGTAGATATAGTATTACATAGCAAATATAAGAAGCAACTTTTATATAATATTAAGGAAACACACACACACAATATTCCCCAAAAGTTCTGTTTGCATGCATAACAAATTAAATTCCCTTTTCCAAAAGTAATGATTCACAGGTATTTGAGGCATTTTCATTTGAAAAGTCAGAGAGATCCCCTACAGCTTTTATCGGCAAGAACTGACACAATGATCTGGGGGGAAATCAAGTCACATGGTTATTGTATTATGGGTGGAAACAGAAGCTCCAGGACTCGCTGTTATCGGTGAAGAGCTACCGTACTATTTCCACTCATCCAACAGGGAATGTGTACGCTAGCAAGTAAGGCCCAAACAAATGACATCTCCAGCTAAAGTTTTATAAGAGAAAATTAAATCATAAAATTGTTAGTAAGTATTTAGATTATTATAAAGTAAAAATTTTGACAGCTTGAGTCACCTCTATACCAATTTATCAAGAAAAACTTTAAAAATCTCCTTGCTTAGAGGTTTTCTGAAAACAAGGTGGATACACTCATGTCTGAGACACTTGTTTATGATCTTTTCTGAAGGAAAAAAAAGATCAGTGAGCGCTTAAAAGGCTCTTCCCAGCCTGTGATGCTCTAACAACACTACACTCTAACTATAGGATCTTAGAGAAAAAGGAAGAGAGGGCCAAATGTCGTAGACCTTTAACCCCTAAACCACAAAATATTACTCTTAACTTCAACTGAGTTAAAATGGCTCTTGCTTTCTGTTTCATACTTAATTCAGTTTTTCAAATTCTGATGTTGGTTATGTCTATGTGGGACAGCATTTTAAAAGCAATGCTAAGTGCAGTGAGAAGAACGATTAACATACTTTTTTCACGTTGGGAGCCTTAGAATCTAGGAAGAAAAAGGGAAAAATACCCCAGTAAATCTATCATTGGAAATGCAGAAGAGAAAAGTATCATAGGAAGGTAACAGAAAAGGGATTAAGGAAAGCATATTACAGCAAGAGCCATTTAAATGAGGCTATGAAGGATGAGCAGGATTTGAACATTTTAGTCAGGAATAGCAGGAATTGGTTTTAAAAAATGACAAATAATCCAGCTGGAGAGTATCCATGGGACGGCAGAAGAAAAAGAGAATTAAAATATAAATTAGGGAGAAAGTATGCTTCTCACTTTTGCATGCCAAAGACCCTGCATGAGAGTGAAAAGCAGAGTATTTATTTGTCTCCTTCAATGCTGTAGCCTCACAATGAATGTCACATAAAGGAATCAGACTGAACTCATTAAAGAAGAATTAGCCTGTTTTGGAGCAGTGAAGAAATAATATCTAAAAATTAGAAACTGGCATGCCTGAGAAAACATTTTTACAAAAAATTTAAACACATGAGTCCATACGCCAAAAAAAAAAAAAATGTTGTATCAATTCACCATCCAAAACTATTTATCCATATAAACAGGAAACAGGAAACCACAAGAGGTAAGATATCTACATCCCTTATCTCTGTTTTCAGTTCCCTCTGAGAATTAGGAAATTTGCATTTATTCTGATTCCGGTATTAATCTCATCTTAGTTATTTACTATGGACCCTGGACTATGCAATGATTTGTGAGATTCAAAGTAAGACTGGAAAATTGTCCTTGGTCCACAAGAAACTAGATGGAGAAACAAAACACAAAAAGTAATTTGTCAATGAGAAATTATATGTTCAGAAAAGGTGAGATGTTATTAGGCAACAGGGCAGTGTGTAATAAGGCAATTACAAAATGGTCCCCCCAAAAGAAGGCAATGTAGCATTAGATTTGTCAATACATATAACCCAGAAAAACAAGATTCCCTGACGAAACAAGCCAAATATAACACAACTGTAATATATTTCACTGTATAAACATACTGAAGCATTATATATTCTACTATGAATAGACATTCAGACTTATACATACAATGCTCCCATGAATATTTCTGAATGTGTTGCTTGGAACCCTGTGTAAGAGTTCCTGGAGTATATGTCTAGGACTATAACCGTTGGATAGTATGCAAGTTATAAAGTCTTTATTAAAAACTCCTATTTTTGGGGCGCCTGTGTGGCCCAGTTGGTTGGGCAACTGCCTTCAGCTCGGGTCATATCTCGGGGTCCTGGGATCAAGCCCCGCATCGGGCTCCCTGCTCAGTGGGAGGCCTGCTTCTCCCTCTCCCACTCCCCCTGCTTGTGTTCCCTCTCTCG